AGGGACCTATATAGTTAGTTTAACACTATAGTGTTAGGAATGCATGCTTGTTTTCCTGACAGTGTAGGGTTCTTTTAATTAAAAAAAACACAACATAATAGTTCATTTATGTAGCAGTATCAATCAAAATATAACTAATACAATAACATAATTATGTAAAAATAATATATAAAATACATTTAGAATGAAAAATTAATAATACAGCTATATATATAAAATTTCATTCAAAATGTATTTATAATTTTTATATATTTAAGTATATTATTTTATTAATTATATATTGGGGTAACTGCCTGACAACCCAGGCCAAAATACCAGATTATTTAATTTGCAAGCCCTATATCTGAACCTGTAACTTTCCAAAACACCATAAAACATGTTGTACCCGAGAGACATTGCTGAACACCTATATGATTGTTTTAGAGCAATAAAATATATATATGATATATTTGCAAAAAAAATAAAAAATATGAACACTAACTTTGGTCAGGATTTGTGACTAAGTTGCTACTAAAAAAGACTGGACATTAGTGATGTCCCGAACGGTTCGCGAATGGTTCACTGCAGTTCGCCACGAACGGTTCGCCACGGACTTCAGTCAGCTGACACATTCCAGCCAATCAGCAGCAGACCCTCCCTCCCAGACCTTACCCCCTCCTGGACAGCATCCATTTTGAAGCTGCATTCTTAGTGAGCTGTTCAGGAGGTGGGAGAGTCTGGGAGGGAGGGTCTGCTGCTGATTGGCTGGAATGTGTCTGCTGATTGGAGTCCACGGCGAACCGTTCGTGGTGAACCGTTCGCGAACCGTTCGGCGAACCGTTCGCGAACCGTTCGGCAAACCGTTCGCGAACCTTTCGGCGAACCGTTCGGGACATCACTACTGGACATACATAATTTTGAATAACCTGGGTTGTTTACGCTTGCAAATGATATGTCATGACGGGGGTCATTTTAATTCCTGTGCTGCCATATGGTTTCAAAGGTAACATTGGCCCAGCGAACCAATCTGGCAAATTTCAATGTGAAAAAATTAAATAGGTAAACCCTATAATCAGAGGCGGCTCTAGACTTTATGAGGCCTTAGGCGAAACTCAAACATGAGGCCCCACTAACAAAAAAGTGAAAAAAATAGAGTTGCAATACATGCACACTGTCACATATACACATTTATGCACAGTTTACCTGTGTATGTGCCTGAGGGCGAAGGGGGTATAGGGACAGGGTGGGGGTGGGGTTGTGAGAGAGAATGATGGAGTATGGCATGGTTTGATGAGGGAGTGTGACAGGGTGAGTGGAGGTAAGTGTGTCAGGGCAATTGTGGCATGGTAGGAGGGACGAGTGTGACAGGATTAAGGGGTTAATGCGACAGGGTGAGTGTGGCAGAGTGAGGGCAGGAGAGTTTGGAGGGGGTGAGATTAACAGGGTTAGGAGTGGTTAATGTGAGCGTGGATACATATAGAGGCTGACAGTGTGAGGGGGTGATTACAGTGTGTCTGGGGAGGCTGTGTGTGTAAGGGGGGTGATCTTGTGTGTAAGTAGGTGATAGTGTGAGGGTTGGGTGAGAGGGAGGGGAGAGGTGATGGTGAGAGGGAGAGATGGTGATGGTAAGAGGGAGGAGTGAGGGTGATGGTGAGAGGGAGGGGTGAGGGTGATGGTGAGAGGGAGAGATGGTGATGGTAAGAGGGAGGGGTGAGGGTGATGGTGAGAGGGAGGGTGATATTGCTGTAAAAGCTAACAGTATTATGACATTCACAGTTAAAAGGCCATGCAGAACTTGGAAAGTAACAACATTTCTTAATTTCTCAAGCTGTTTTTAGATTTTATTCATATTAAATTGTGTTCCATGTTGAAATATTTGTTATGAAACAAAAGTCCTGTTTCTCAGAACAAAATGAAATATAATAAGTGTGGGTGCACTTAGTAAGAAAGATGTAAATTATGATTGAACAGACATTTAGCTCAAATTACAGGTTTCGTTTTGTATTTGTAAATAAACTTGGACAATTGCCCCCTGTCCTTAAGAGTTAACTTGTTAAACTATTAAATTGTTAGTTAGTAGTTATTGTTAGTATTTTTGTAGTTTATGGCTCCATCTAGTGGTGATTAGCAGGAAATAAAAGATTTGGTAGTATAATAATCATATTTGTTTATTGAATCATTTGAGCTTATTGCACAGTTTGTGTTAAATCCGTTTTTATTAAGGTCATCACAATAAACAGTTCTAACCATGCAGGGGTTGAAGCGTAAACAGTGCATACAGTATGGAAAGACTTTTAAAAGATTGTTGCACAGTTTGCTCCTATTCTGAACACTCAGAATACCATTTATAAGTGCCAGCATGTGCTTCAAAGTGATGCAAGCATTAGGGATTTTTTTTGCTGTCATGATTTATAGCAGGCTCAGGAATTCAAAAAGTTGGATTTCCCCCAAGCAATAAGAAAAAAAAATAATCCCAGTGAGACATCTTAGCTGACTATAAAGGTATGTGCACATTTGGAAGGATGTGTGACTTGCATTCCATTAATCTTTAACTGGAACTCAGTAGACTTGGAAGTTTATTTCATTCCGAACTGCAATTTGTTTGAATTTGGGTCGATCGAGTTATTGTCCAAATTCCCGAATTCCGAACCGTAGCTGAATCACGATCCCAAACAAAATGCACAATGGACGAGCATGTTCGTTTTGATTTGTGATTCAGAATTCCGCCCAGCGGCTAAATGTTGATTTTATTCCGAGATCAAATGAGAAGTGACTGCATATTTAATAAATAAATGATATATAAATAGTATTTACTGCTCAGCCTGTTCTCCCTTCTATTGGTTACTCCTGGTAACTTGATCTGTGACCCAAGTGGTGGCAAAATGCGTCTCTTAGCGTACTGCCAAATATCTGAATAATATTTATATTATGTATATATTTATTTTGCAGTATACTTATTGACCCATTTTTGCCCCATTTTTGTTTGATTCGTTTTTCGAATCTTTTTCATTAATGAAATTGGGACAAGCCAAACCGCCATACGGGCACAAGTACAAACAAATACCCCCTTTTTTTCTTGCACACACAAAAAATCTCTGATCTCATTGAGGATAGTCCTATGCACATATGGTATACATTTTATTAGGTTGGAATATAGAGGCTGCCTGGGTTGCAACCTGTCACTTCATATTTTTCTGCAACCCTCCCCCCCTTATTAATATGACCTCCACAGCATTACGGTGCAGTCACATAGACATGTGAGAAGTAAATTGTTTCTTGTGGTGGCTGTGTTCCAAGTGGGCCCGTCTAGGCCAGGACAATACTGAGATTGTGGGCCACCAAGTGATTTGTTAGCAATGGCTTTTAACAATGTCTTCCTGCTGCCATTCTCAAACAGCACTGTGCCAAAATAATCTAATCTGCTGCTAGTTTATTCCACAGACAAACAGAGTGAGCCTGTGACCCACATACCTGGTACGCAAGTAGCCTGGAGGGCATTTGCCCCCTGGCCCTCTTGCCGGCATTCTCCTGTTACAAGGTATACTTGTTGAATTGTCCAAGTAGTCTTGTTACATTAGGGATTCACGATATGCATAAGTGATAATAGAAGTAGTTTCTGTAAGAGAAGTATTTAATTTCTAGGCTCATTAAGGATATGAGACATACTCTTTCTCAGCTGAATTTACAAGCAATACAGAAACTTGAGGTTGGCAGACCAGAACTTAAGATGGTACAAATGCTCAACCAATTTAAACTGCTATTGGTAGATACACTGGATATTCTTTTTTCCCAAAGGTATAAACTAAGATACTGATACATACACACTGCTACTACACACAGATACAGGGATATGAACTGTCACACAGAAAGATGCACTGCTACTACACACGGATACAGAGATATGAACTGTCACACAGAAAGATACACTGCTACAAACAGAGATACAGAATCAGATATACTGCCACACACATATACACACTGCTAGACACAGATATACTGCCACACACACATACACACTGCTACACACAGATATACTGCCACACACAGATACAGATATACTGCCAGATACACAATGCTACACACATATACAGATATACTGCCACACACACATACACACTGCTACACACAGATACAGATATACTGCCACACACACATACACACTGCTACACACAGATACAGATATACTGCCACACACACATACACACTGCTACACACAGATACAGATATACTGCCACAGCACACATACACATTGCTACACACAGATATAAATATACTGCCAGACACACACTGCTACACACAGATACAGATATACTGCCACAGCACACACACCTACACAGTACTACACACATATACAGATATATAAACTGTCACACAAAAAGACACTACTACACACAGATACAGATATATACTGTCACACATACACACAGATACAGATATAATGCCACACACATACACACTGTTACACACACAGATACAGAAATATATAGTGCCACGGGTACACTACTACACACAAAGATACAGACACATACACACGTCCACACACGTAAACAGTTATATAAATTGACCCACACATACACTACTACACACAAAGATACAGACACATACACACTTCCACACACGTAAACAGACAAAGTGATATAAATTGACACACACACACACATATATACTGCCACACACCCAGATATGCATGCTAGATAGAAAGATGGATGGATAGACAATTGACAGAGGGATTTGAGCCAAAAATAAGGACTGTCTCTCTTAAATAGGGACACTTGGCAGGTATGGAAAACTAAACTGTGTATTGCAGTATGCAATGATGAGGATATTTTCTAGGAATGTATAACAATCACCACATATGTATTTATTTAACAGAGAACAGCTGTCTGTGTATCAGAAATAACTCTCAGCATTTCCACCAGCTGTCAATCTCCTGCTACAAACCCCGCCCATTCAACCCCCTCCCCCTCCAGCCGCAGCGAGGACAGTACTGCGCACGCGCACTTCAGATCAAAACCGCCCATCGGCGCCAACCAGCCGCAGTGCGCCTGCGCAGTCCTTTCTAGGAATGTGTGGGCGGAGCCGCGCACCGGGTGACGTCACGGGCCTTGAACTTGACAGGAAGGAGGAAGAGGAGGCGACATCTTGGTCTCTGGGGGAAGTAAACAAACCGGGTGGAAGGCAGTGCAGCCATGGGTGGCGTTCTGGGACTGTGCTCTGTGGCCAGCTGGGTAAGGATATGGGGGTCCTCTGTCATTTAATATAGGATTCAGGGTTGTCATGGTGACCCTGCTTTGTAATGTTGGGTTATCCATCAGCCATCCCATAATATGATGGGGGATAGAATAATAATAATAATAATAATAATATAATATGGGGGATAGAATAATAATAATAATAATAATAATATGGGGGATAGAATAATAATAATAATAATAATAATATGGGGGATAGAATAATAATAATAATAATAATAATATAATATGGGGGATAGAATAATAATAATAATATGACGGGGGATAGAATAATAATAATAATATGACGGGGGATAGAATAATAATAATAATAATATTATAATATGGGGGATATAATAATAATATTATAATATGGGGGATAGAATATTAATATAATAATATTATAATATGGGGATATAATAATGATGATAATATGGGGATATAATAATGATAATATGGGGATTATAATAATAGTAATATGGGGATATAATAATAATATGGGGATATAATAATATGGGGGATATATTAATATAATATGGGCTGATTAAATAGGGGATATATTAATATTAATATGGGATAATTAAATGGGGGATAGAATATTAATATAATATGGGATGATTAAATGGGGGATAGAATATTAATATAATATGGGATGATTAGATGGGGGATAGAAAATTAATATAATATGGGATGATTAGATGGGGGATAGAATATTAATATAATATGGGATAATCACATGGGGGATAGACTATTAATATAATATGGGATAATCACATGGGGGATAGACTATTAATATAATATGGGATAATCACATGGGGGATAGAATATTAATATAATATGGGATAATCACATGGGGGATAGAATATTAATATAATATGGGATAATCACATGGGGGATAGAATATTAATATAATATGGGATAATTACATGGGGGATACAATATTAGTTATATAATATGGGATGATTAGATGTGGGATACAATATTAGTTATATAATATGGGATGATTAGATGTGGGATATAATATTATTATAATATGTGCTGATTAAAGGGATAAAATATTCAAATGGAAAAGCCTGATGTCTGGGGACTACATTTCCCCTGATGCTTAGCCAGAAAGGTTTAAAGAGTCTGTAACTGGTAGAGATGTTTGTGCCCCAGACTGGCAATGAAATATAATACTTTACTTGCCAAGCAGAGTGTAAAAGAAAATGCAATATCCTTGGGGCCTTATCAATACATATGTGACAGGGTTATGTATTAAAGTAACACTTTAAGCACCGTAAACACTGTAGTGGTTATGGTGCGATAAATGGCCTGGCGCCCCATCCCAATGAAAGTATCCTAGCGGTTTGACTGTTTAAATAGGGTTGACCAGGCGCTGGGCACCTCCTCATGAGAGCCGAAAGCAATCTGCCTTCACTAATTAGATTTAGAGTGTACAAGGCATGCTGGGTGTTAGCTGTAGTGATTATGGTGCTTGGTGTTCATTTAAAACATCACTTTTTGGGAATTCACTAAGCTCCAAATTGTGTCAAACTGAGAGCCAAATGGCTAAGATAGCCGAGCTGTGTCTGTAGTTCGGCTGGAGAATTCCTCCAGTACAGCGATGTTTGCTTTTATTTATTATTTTAAATGTCTACTTTGACCTAAAATTTTAAAATAATTTTGAATTCCTGGTATTTAACACTTTAAAGTAAAACACTGAAAGGCTATTGTGACAAAGTTGAGTTGGAGAATTTTTCCAGATCTGCTATTTTTTTGCGTTTTGGATTTCAGTTCACCTGAAGTCCCAGTTAAGTGAATAAATAAAGTAATTGACGTCTACCCAGTTTAATGTATTTATTTACATTGTAAGCCACCTGTTTTAAGAATGAATAATCAGGTGGTGAAGACGTTCTATCAGGCTAATAACATATAACTGAATGCTAAAGCCTTGTAAATTAAGTTATTGCGATTTATCGTCCGGAATTTTCACTTACCTTTTTTAGTTGTAATACATGGTTTCTCTTAAACGAACACTCCAATCACAATAAGTACTACAGCGGTCATGGTGCCAGGCGTTCATTGGTGCCCCCCATTGTAAGTCATCAAAATGTTTTGGAATAGTTTGACTTCTTACCTTAGGTCCGCTGGACACCTCTTCCTGCCTCCGCTACACCTGACAGAGAGCTGGGACTTGTGTAGGCTAACCTTAATTGATCGCTTTAATACACTAATACCTGAGCTTCTGTCAGAAGTAGCTTAGTTCTGGAGCAGCAACTGCTGCACCACAGTTTAGAAGCCAAATCAGTTCTAAAATAATTTGACTACTTACAGTGGTGGGCGTCTGGACACTGCTGGCACCATAACCACTACACTGTGTTTTGAACCATGACCGTGTTTAATCATGGGCTTGCGCTGCACTTTCCCTCAGTCTTCCTGATACCAGGTAACAGTGATTGGGAAGAATAAAAGGAAGCAATTGTGTGCCTTAAAAGATCTGAACATTCTACTGGCATATTTTGTTTGTATAATTTACCTCTATTCCCTTTGCATAATGGTAAAATAACTTTGAAATATGGCGCATCAGATGCCCACATGGTGGTGACAGCACGCTTTAGTGCTTAGCGTTTTTGTTCAGAGAATCTGTGTCTAACTTGAATAGCGAGATTGCTTATGTATGGGCAGATGATTGGAATGTACCCAGTTTTACCTTGGTTTCCAAATACAATAAATGTATTTATTGAATATTTTTATAAAGACAGGTATGTATTTTTCTACCTGAAGGTCTAGGCTTCTTTATATTCCCACAGTTTAGTTATTTTTTTTATTTTTTTTTGTGCGTTTTGTTTTTTTAATTTTTGTTACACACACCTGCATTAGTTGCCGTTGGCATGTGTAACTTCTTCCTTTGCAATGTGTTGCTCAACACTCTGACATGTTAATAAACGTTTATTGTACTTCCTGTTGAAGACACTCATACACTGGCTACAAGTTTGTAGCCTGATGACATTTGTCACCAGGGATCATTGGTGCAGAGCTACACATGTACTTAACCCTTAAAATGTTTGTGCTTCCTGCCATTTTTTTCTACCAGTTTTTCCCAGTCTTCGGTAAATGTGATTAGTTTAATAGGATAAAAATAGAAGTTTAAAGGGTAACTGTCACTTGCCAGGATTTTTAATACTTACCACTAAATTTAGCATTTTGTATCTGTGAGTTCTTGAAAAACCCCATAAAATATATGAATAGAATGTATCCTCCTACTGATTGCCTCCCCTTGAACTCCCTGTCAGTGTTGGTCCTTCCCACCTAGCATTAAGAGAAAAATGAAACTTTATTTTGCAATTTTCATTCTGTATTGGATTGTGATCATTTGCTAAATCTTAAATATAAATTTACCAGAAAACAGAAAATCTAGTTAAAAAAAAAAAAAAAGTTAACGCATGTTCTAGGTGATGTGGAGTCAATAAAATTTTAATACTGGCGCGCTACCTTTTGGCCTATTCTTTGGCTACCACAATAATGAGCTCCTAGGCTTGATAAGAACCAATACTTAAATTAATTAAAATAAAGTATTATTTTTCTATACGTGCAATGTTATGATATACAGCTCCATTAAAGGAACACTATGCACCATGACAGCTTCATCTGAATGAAGTGGTTATGGTGCCAGGAGGTCCTTGTGCCCCTTTACCTTTAGGGGTTAAACCATTTGTGAATTATTTAACCTCAGAGTCTTCTCTCCAGCACCATATCGCTCTGTCCTGTCCTCTCGCGTCTCACAGGAAGCTTGGACTGACGCAGACAGGGGCGCTGCTAATTACTTGCGTTTCTCACGCTGTTTTGTGGATTTACGGATTACCCAGTTGTGTCTAAGGTGTTTTTAGTAGAAGAAAAAACACTCTAGACACAACAAGGTATTCCATAAATCTTGGATTGGTAGGGTGTACTTGAGGACTGGGTTGGGAACCGCTGGCTTAAAGCATCAGCTGACTCTCTCAGATAACCAGTGGCTCCTCTATCCGTAGCAGTCTGAGGCCTTCTATTTGAAGAATCTGTGAGCAGTGAATACAGTTCTGATTGGTTATATCTTAGTCCCGTTTTGAGGTCATGGTGAATTCTGTAAAGTTTTGGGGATTTGCAGTAAATACAGGAATTTCAAAGATAAATATTGGTTTCAGTACATATTCGTTTTTTTTTTTTCATCATCCAACGTGACAGCCAGTAGAGGTGTGTTTTATTACCAAATGTAAAGATTGGTGTTCTCTGAAACACCAGTGTTTAACATTTCCACAAAATATGAAGTGATTTTGGTGCTTAGTGTCCTTTTAATGCTAACAGTTATCGGGAAGATCTTGAAATGTCTTATTACCAAACTAGCTTTCTCTTGGAAAGATCTAGATTTCAGAGCAATTTTGCTTAAAGGGACACTATAGTCATCTAAACAAATTTAGTTTAACCCCTTAAGGACACAACTTCTGGAATAAAAGGGAATCATGACGGAATATTTCTGTCATGTGTCCTTAAGGGGTTAATGAAGCAGTTTTGGTGTATAGATCAGGCCTCTGAAGTCTCAATGCTTTATTCTCTGCCATTTACGAGTTAAATCATTTTTGGTTTTGTCCATGCAGCTCTCCCCTGGCTGTGTCTGACATCTTAAATCAGATGTTAAGTAACATTAGAAGGTTTTTATCTCCTGCTCAGTAAATTACACTTTAATCGCACACAGGAGGCTCCTGCAAGGTCTGGCAAGCCATTATCCAAGCAGGAGATAAGAAATTCTAAATTGAACAGAATGTGCAATAAAGGAAGTTTAAAGATTATGTAACTCGTCACAGGAATTGTTTAGGATGTGACTAGTGCTGCATAAAATGACAGAAAATTGAGCAGTGAGACTGCGGGTGCATGATATATATACCAAAACTGCTTCATTGGGCTAAAGTTGTTTTGGTGATTATAGTTTTTCTTTTAGAGGACTTTTTTTTTTTTTTTCAACGTTACAAACTATAATATAGCAAGGAAAAGTATGTAATAAACTTTTATAAACGTACTATAAACTAGGTCAGATTGCAATGATAGGGACACTTCTTCAGCACTCCCTCTTACTCACCCGCTAATCCACCTATCTGTTTCAGACCCAGTCCATTTATGACAGAACCAGAACATAACTGTGCAGCAGTCTTCCAGCTGCACTTGTATGGCTCTGTTTACAGCATTTGCAGGCATAGCCCACTGGTTGGTTTATTTCCGTGCCAGGAGTGGGTGTGGTGTGCATAAGATAGAAAAACAGCTATACATGTATTCTTTGCAGAGTTGTCTCAAAGTAATGCATGTCTCTTTAAAAAAAACAAAAACAACAACATTTACATGGGGTCTTTTAGTGTTACAAAGTCTGTCTGCCACAATAGTAGCAAATCAACCATAGGTTGATCGTGCTCATTGCATGGCATTCGATAATCAGATTTCGTGCCACTGTTCCCAAATGATTCATTTTGTTTTTCTTCAAGTGGTTAGTAGAAACGATATCCCCTGTATCAGTTTAGTGTTAACTTGAATGTCGCATCATGCAGTGCAAGGGTTTTGTCTCAGAAAGTAATTTAAATGTAATATTTGTTTTTGTTTTTCCCCAGATTCCTTGTCTGTGCAGCAGTGCTGCCTGTGTCGTTTGCAGATGCTGCCCAAACACCGGCAATTCTACTGTGACGCGTCTTGTGTACGCTTTCCTGATGCTGCTTGGGGCTCTCCTCTCCTGCGTGATGCTCACACCGGGAATATCGGACCAGCTGAAAAAGGTATATCTGATAATAGAAGCTATTAATACAGATAGCTTGTTCACACATGGTGTCTAAAGGAGATGAACCATAGAAAGGAGAAAGTCTGTAGTGGATTGAGGCTTTTTCATTTTAAACAGATATTTATTCACTAAAGGGAGAGTTGTTGGGAATTGCAAGGGAATTTGAAATTTGAGGACAAAATATCTGGAATCATAGCTATCTTGAAGAACTTTTCCAGATCAGCCATTTTGGCGTTAAGTTTGAAATTCACTTTGAACTCCTGACAATTCTTACTTTTGTGAATAACTCTGTTTGTGTGTTCTGTTGGCACAAACATACCCAAAGTTTGTGTACAGAGACATGGCATCATGTACAATTATTGTGCGTGGTGATTGTGGGAATAAAAGAAAACTTTTACCTAGTAGTGTGGCTAGATTATTGTGTAAGTAAAAATGTGTTCTTTACACAAATTAGACCATTTATCCATCAGTTGATGTCCAGTCCGCTTTAAATGAACCTATTTTGAAGTTATTCTGATCAATCACAGTTCAGATATATTTTCCTAATTTCCCATGGTTGAATTATGTTCTTTATAGCATTTAGATTGCTGCGTGCCTTTTAGATTTACTTCCAAGCGGACATCAGGCTGCTTGAAAATGGTCAAAGTTTAATTGTGGTTTTCATTCTCAAAGTAACACATCTCCCAACAGGAAGCCAATATAATAGGTATTTGGACTTGTTTTTGCTCTGCACCTGTCTTAAAGATTTTCCTTCGTATTATTGTTTAGTTACTCTTTTTTTAATGATTTGGCCGAATTTTTAGGGATTTTTACCTTTTTATATGCTCTTTTTTATGATTTGCCACTCCTACTTATAAGGATTAAGCCTGGTGTGTGTATGGCTGTTTTTAAAATTACCAAACTGTCTTGCAGAGTGTGGACTTTTAAGTATACATGCACTAACGTAACAAGCTCCAGAAATTGTATGTTTCAAGTCTGCATCTAGGGCTGTTTAGTGAGACACATTGTTCTCCCAAAATCACGGCACAATCCCAGAATGCTGTGCTATATGACTGACTAGCATGGCTGCACTTTTATGCTTCTGTGCTCAAATCCTCCATATTGAATGCATGTTTATTTGCACATTTTGTTGTAGCATAGATAAAATTGCAGTCTCCATTATTACCACTATGGTACATTGCATGACAGAAATACACAAAATAAGTCGTAGTTGTTACCTTGTCCCTGTGGGAAATACAGAATTGCAAGCAAACATACTCCTCTCCAATTAGCGAACACTCCTGAAAATCTGCCTATTCACAAATGAAATTCTTTGACTCCTTGGTAGTTCTTTCAAGCTTCTGGCCCACCCAGCCTGTTTGCTGTAGTCTCTATCTCGCCAAATCATTTGACCTCACTACATCTTTCCTTGTCCCCACCATTGTATTTGCTCTGTTGTGTGTTCCCATCCATCTTTGCTTTTCTCATGTTATGATCTAGCCTGATCCCACCTGAATGTATTGTATACAGCGAGATTACATGTGACTTAAAATTGTCAAGTGACCGGGACATAAGTGACTTCTCTTACGATTTTTTTTTTTTTTTTTCCCGACCCAGGTGCCTGGATTTTGCGAAGAAAGCTTTGGCTCTGAGATCTTGCATAGAAATGGCTATGTGAACTGCAATATGTTAGTTGGATACAAAGCTGTCTATCGTGTGGGCTTCGCTATGAGCGTGTTTTTCTTTTTGTTCAGCCTGCTGATGTTTAATGTGAAAACTAGCAGAGATCCAAGGGCTGCCATACACAATGGGTGAGCTTGAATGATCTTTGTTAAAAATGTTCTTATACTTATTAAATGTAAGAATACAATTTCAGCTATCGAAGAATATAGTAATAAAATCAATATGAATGTGTTTATCTAACTTGTGGAAACTCCAGTCTCAAAGCTGACATTTTCGTATTTCATGTCACCCAAACGCGACTTCATTTGCCTTTTGCTTGCGTTATAGTTGAATTTTCATGCTTGTTCGTTTCTAAATCGTACATCCCTTGGAGTAAAGACACAAATGTCAATAATATGTCAGTGAAATTCTCAATGGATTTCTTTAATATATCCAAACTCTAATGAATATGCAAGGGACTTATTCATTACACGTCTGATTGACGGGTGACACAAGTGGACCGCTTCGGGAGCGGATAATTTGGTCCTTTTGGTATTCTATAATTTACATGACACATTAAAAAAACAATGTACAGACAATGATAATCATAGCATAGGTGCTTTAACTTGGTTTGATGGCGCTATCACCTTTACAGATACCTGTGTAATATGATAATTTTTAATTGTTATAGATTCTGGTTCTTCAAAATATTGATAATCGTTGGAATTATGGTTGGGGCTTTCTACATTCCAGAAGGGTCGTTTACAAGAGGTAATCACACTAATAACACCATTCACTACTTGAGAGAGAATGTGTGTATTTTTTTAACCAAAGGCCCACCTAGTTGTACAGCACATCCCATGAATTCTTTATATGAGAGGATGGCAAATTTAGAATCTAGGAGAGAGGAAGATCTGGTAAAATGCAGCTTGTTGTAATTTTTTATCTTTGAAGACATTTTTGTTGTATTGTACAAAGTTTTACAGAAATTGTTTTCTGTTTTTAAAAAACAAACAAAAATTAATTCAAAATATATATTTTTTCATATTAAAAAGATCTTCCTCCAGCCCCTCCACTTTATACCTCTTAATGGTGTTTTGCTTATCACATTGAAAATGTTGCCGAATGCTCTTACTAATAGCCATGGTATTACTGTTTGTACTGCATCATCGCATGCTCGAGAGTACAATTCATATGTCTGTGGAGGATCCGGCGGGATTGCGGCAACCTCCAAAGACCATGCCTTTTTCTCCAGAGCCATCACTAGTGACGGCTAGGAGAAATGAGAAAACCGAAGAGCGGTAGCTACACATTTTGTTTGGGGAGAGGGTGATCCACTTTTAAATGTCACTGTTACGTTTAAGCCGTGCTCCATTAATAGCCGTATTAACTTACACGTTTTTTTTTTCTTTGCCAGATGAGAATTCCAGTTTTAATGCTGACTCTTATTTAAAAACATACATTTTAAGAGCTGCACTCAAACTGTTATAGCCCAGAAGTCTTCAGGGTTCTTTACTAAAGTAAGAATTCATAGTGAATTTTAATTTCAGGATAAAAATAGCCAAAGTGGAAGATTCTCTAAGTCAGCTAGGTTTCCAGTTCAGTTACTTTCCCCTTAAGTAAGAAGTTCACTTGAAATTTACTTTGAAGTTTTACTTTTATTGAATAACCCTGAATGTGTTTGTGGCATTAGATATGTTTTGATTTAGAATTTTTTTTTTTTTTTTTTTTGAGATACAGAAAAGGGCATGTGGAGTAGTAAGAGAGGGGCTTCAAAGAGGGATCTTTACCTTTTGAAGTCTTGATAATGTGGTCATACACCCAACTCAATACGTTCAGAGCAAATTAATTTTCACAAATTAGAAATGGCAGTGATCTTCCATGGCATCTCCGACACTCAGTAGGTTTTCTAAATAAATATGGTGTAATATATAGAAGATATACATCACCGTCTCAATAGGAGTTTATAGTCAATCTCTTGTATTTTTTAAGAAACCGCTAATGTCCAATTAAAGTAAATATGTTGGCTATTTATGCTAAGTGACCAGGTTACCTGTATTCGAGATGTCTCGGTTTATGGAGGACATGTGACAGCAGACTAGCAAAACCTATGGCTAACATTCACAGGCTGGGCAAAAAATCTCTATAGAATTTTAATTTATTTTTTTCCAACCTGGCTACTTTAACTTTAATATAGTCAGTCCCTTATCATCAGCGTGTGTCATAAACTCCTCTAAGATAGTGCACGCCATTGCCTTACTCATTACGCAGATTTGTCTTCCTGGGTCTTTGCCTAAACATTCGGGTTAAACCTTGCATTCTTTTCTGTAGGGTGGTTTGGGGTCGGCATCGGAGGAGCCTGCTCGTTCATCGTTATCCAGTTGGTGCTGCTGAATGATTTTGCACACTCGTTAAATGAAAGATGGGTCCAGCGTATGGAGGAGGGAAACTCAAAGTGCTGGTACGCAGGTAAGATGTGGCCCCACTTAAGCTTCATCAGAAATGTGCTAGCGACAATTTTTTTTGCTCCCTTCGGAGTTGATGCAGTTGACTTCTTAATATTTTTTTTTCTGAACATCCTGATTTTGTACCTCCCTTCCTGATTTTGTTTGATCACTGAATAACAAATCCTAATTCAGGTGACAGATCTGCTATAAAGTGATATCTAAACTGAAAAAATTTATTTTAAGAATTTCTGTTCCGTGTTTACAAGGTTTTCTCCTCAGCCCAATCCTCCTTGATTTATGTCACGCCTCTTTACTGGAGGGGAAGGCAGACAGACTGTGTGGAGGAGATTGTCTGGCGCCTGCATGGTGTGCGTGCTGGAGTCAGATTTAGTTTTGCACAGAATTGACATTAGTCACCCAAAACTCTTGTTGCTCGGGTTCGAGTTACAGTTGACAGCTAAAAGGTTAATCTCTGTATGTGCAGCGTTTCAATTTGAAACACTACACATTAGACTCCAGGCACCATGACCACGTCAATCATTCAGGTGGTCATGGTGCTTTAATACTTGGGTCTATTTTGCGTGTCATGGCGTGTTAGTGGGTCTCACTGAGAATTTGTGGTTATGCATGTGTCCGTCGGTATTCTTTAAGTGGGTAGTTTGAGGAATGTTTGTGTGGATAGGTGTCCGTATAGGGCCAGTCCTGTCTATGCAGCTGTTCTGATCATATTTCCATGGATTCAGAAACAATTAAACTGGAGATTCATGATTTGTGACATCACCCGTCATCATTCCTCGTAATAAAAACCTGTGCACAGATCAGAGCCCTGTGTTAGTGGGAGTTACGCTCCTTAGCAACAGATGATATCTGGGACTGTGCGTTCCACTGATCTGTGGCATATATTTTAAATTCTTGTTATTTTTTTGTGACATGTTGCAAATATTTAGTAAAACATATTCTGACAATGGAAGGGAGTGAAGAGTATCCTCTCATAATCTTTCAATGGGCTCTCTTAAAGGGATATTCCAACCACCATTACCACTTCAGTGATTAGAAGTGGTTATTGTGGTAGAAGTATGTATATGCAGTGTTTCTGCTTGAAACTCTGCACATATTGAGATATTTTTGTGTGCCAGGGGCAAGTTGCACCGCCAGCACACGTAACATTGGTTTGCCCAGGGCAGCCAGTGTTAATTCTGTACATATTTTGCATCTGTTGTAAGCACGTTGGTGACAGACATGCTAATTTCTCCCTTACAGGCAGAGCGCCTGCTTCCCCATTCCCTTCCACTGTGTGCTACCTCACGACTCCCTCTATGGCACAGCAGTATTCATGTGTTTTTTAAAAAACTCCCGACGCTCACCGGCCCCGAGTGTGCTTTTTAGATCAGGGGTCCTCAAACTCCGGCCCCCCAGATGTTGCTGAGCTACAACTCCCTTGATTCTCTTCTTAGAGAAGCCTGTGACTTGAATTCTTGAGGCCCCTGTGACGTAGGAGGGGGTGGGGAAGTCCGTGCCGAGAGCTTTACCTGGCCCTGGATTCCAGGTAAGTAAAACGGTTTTATTTTTTGCCTTTTTTACTGTAAGCTTACTATTTCCCCTGTGGGAAAGCAGTTGCATAAACCATATCACTTTGTGTGGCCCATTGTGTCCTGATAATTTAATTTCTTCCATTTTATTTTAGTGTTGCTCTCTGTTACTGGATTTCTCTACACTGTGGCTGCGATCGGTGTGGTCCTTTTCTATGTTTTCTACACAAAATCCGATGGATGCACAGAAAACAAATTCTTCATCAGTTTTAACCTGATACTGTGTGTCATTTTATCTGTGATTTCCATCCTCCCTAAAATTCAGGTACTTTGTGTGTGCTGTAATATCCTTAATTCTGGATACATTATTAGAGCATTTAATGAATGTTTGTTCCGTTCAGGATGCGAATCCAAATTCTGGTCTTCTTCAGTCATCAGTGATCACCCTGTACACTGTATACCTGACCTGGTCTGCAATGTCCAATGAACCTGGTGAGTATCGTCAAACTAATGACATTACACTTGTGCAGAGATCTCCAGCTATAGCATAGACTGATCGCAGAGTGGGTTTAATGCGAGACCTTGTATCACAAGTAAAACCATTATTTGCTCTTGTTTTCAGATCGAAGTTGTAACCCAAGTTTACTCAGCATCATTTCCTCTGTATCCTCTCCAACGCACAACCCAGCAAATGGAACCATGGTACCTGCCACAGTTGAACCACCAAAGTCCTTGCAGTGGTGGGATACCCAGAATATTATCGGGCTTGTACTCTTTGTGTTTTGTCTGCTGTATTCCAGGTGAGCTTGAAAGTATGGTGTTCATGGTAAAGCCAGCCGTGGTTATAAATAACAGCACACACAATACTTAGCTTTTATTATGATCCATTTCGAAATTAATAAACCGGAACAGCACACTGGTGACCCAAGCCAGCTGGCAGCATTTTGTCAAACGCTTTATCAAACGATGTGTAGTTCAGCCTGTTTTTACAGCTATAAACCTGCCTATCTTTTGATTCCGGCACCAGTTCTGGAACAAATCGGAAGGATGTAAAAATATTTCAAATAACACCAGCCCATTAGGTGGATGCTGAGTCTTAATAAGGGGAAATGGTTTCTGGAAAACTACTTTTAGAACTAGGTTTAAATGCATTTAAAAAAAAAAAAAAAAAAAACCTTCCCAAAATATCAAAACATATATGCAATCTAAAGGAATAAAAATAGTAGGAGGAGTAATTATTGTACTCACAAAGGTACAATTGATAGTAGGCACGTAAAAAAAAAAACCTTAACCATAAATGACGTTCTTTCTCTTCCCTCCTGTTCAGTACACGAAAGGAAAGGAGAGCGACAAACCCATAGTGTAGCAGTATAAACACAGTTAACAGCTTTATTTACAAGATAATAAACAGTCCGGCACATCAATAACTCACACTTTTTTCCTGGACCAGGATCTGCATAAGGTTCTTCAGGAATGGTTGTGCAGCAGCAATACAAAATAAACAGTAAAAAAACACTTGATTAAAAAAAAAAAAAAAATCAAACACTAGATATGTCTCTTAGCTTCCCAAAATATGTAGAACTTTTTTGTTTTGTTTTACTCTGCAAGGAAATGGCACACTTGAAATAAAATGAACAGTAAATGCCTATACAATATGAAAACCTTGCTAGCAAGTGTTATTACTGCAACCCTAGCTGTGGGTTTATTTGATATGGATATTGTGATGTTCTGTGAATACAATTTTTAAAGCGTCTCTCTCACCTTCTATGGAGTCTGCATATTTTGCAAAGGTCTCCGATGTTCACATTGCGGTGCAGAGGAAGATATATTTTACTTCTGTGAAGCGGTCTCTCGCTAACCATCTGGTACATTCTATTTAGCTCCCGATGCTTAATCTGTCAGGAGCCCACACATGTGAGAATACATCTCTGATGGCTCATGGAAGATTCTATGAGAGCATCCTTAGACAAAGCCTTTTTCCTCATAGCTATCACTAGTGAATTTCCAAGACTATGTGCTTATTTCATAAATATTTGATTTTTTGGGGGGGGATGTGGGCTGTGACAGAGGCTCTTAATTATTGTAGATCTAAATATTACAAGTATTTTCACAGAGTAAAATCCGTTGAATCACAAACACACTAAATTCTAATGCAGCATTCCTGGTCGGACATGTTTTGTTTTTCCACCAAATGAAAGCAAGATCTAAATTTGATTTAATGCATTTTAGGTTTTAAATTGCTCATTATATTCGTCCCCATTCTGTTGCAGTATCCGTAACTCCTCCCACAGCCAAGTCAATAAGCTTACTCTGTCTGGACACGACAGCGTCATGCTCGATGACACTACAGGAAGCAACGTTGGACTGGAAGATGGGGAGGTCCGTCGTGTTGAGGACAATGAAAAAGATGGCGTTCAGTACAGCTATTCTTTTTATCATGCCTTGTTGTGCTTTGCATCTCTTTATGTAATGATGACTCTCACTAACTGGTACAGGTGAGTGGAACTGTGCATGAAGTAATATTTCATTCTAGCTGCCTATAGCTTGGCTTATATAGTAAAAACAAAAGGGAATTGGGGGGACCATGCATCTTGCAGGAATAGTACTGCCGTAGTGACCAAAATGTATACGTAATACAGATTAAGGAACAGTGGACTAATAAAATACATTTCTAGATTTTACAAGGCTACTTAAAATGACCTATCTCAGCACACAAATATGGGAATTCAGTTCCACCATATGGCCATATTGTGTTAAAGGGAAACTATAGTGCCAGGAAAAAAAACTGGCACCCTCCTCATGGTGCAGAAGGGGTTAAAACCCCTTCTGTCACTTACCTTGTTCCAGTGCCGATGTCCCTCGGTGCTGGCTCAGTTTTGCCCACTCTCCTCCCCTGTATACGTCCACCGGTGGGGAAGACCTAATGCGAATGCGTGGCAATGGCCGCACTTGCATTAGGATCTCCCCATAGGAAACTATTATACGATGCTTTCCTATGGGGACAGTCTGACGCTGGAGGTCCTCATGCATAGCGTGATGACGTCTAGCGTCCGATACCGGACAGTTTCATGTCTGGTAGACGGCCACTAGAGGATTAGTTAACCCTCAGAGGTATTTATTGCAGTTTATATAAAAAATGCAATAATTACCACTGCAAGGTTAAGGGTGATGGGAGTTTGCAGCCAGACCACTTCAATAAGCTGAAGTGGTCTGGGTGCCTACAGTGTTCCTTTAAGCCCCCACTACTTCACAGTACCCCAATAATTGGTGGGTCCTACACTAATTCCAAACTTGGGAGACAAATGGTGCTAGTGCTAAATAAGCTGAAGTGTATTTAAACAATCTGTTAGTAAGAGCATTGAGAATATATATATATATATATATATATATATTGCAAATTAATCTGATACATGGAATTAAAACTAAATTAAACAATTAAAGTGCTTATTTGTATACACTCTCAATGCAAATTATATATCTGCTGTATGAAAGATATAATTGAAGTGACATTACTTTCCAAAACCTGATAGAAAATGTCAAACACCAGAGTCTGTTTAAAGAAATTCCTTGAAGTCCATCTGCCCAATGGATATAATATTGTAACGACAAAACCATTTAACGCTCCTTTGTAAATTAGCTTTTTTTTTTCTTTTTTGCAGCCCGGATGCGGATCTTAAGACCATAACTAGCAAGTGGCCCGCTGTTTGGGTAAAGATGGGTTCCAGCTGGGCGTGCCTGCTGCTGTATCTCTGGACCATGATAGCGCCCCTAATCCTCACCAATCGCGACTTCAGTTAAATTTAGCCAACGAAGAGCAAAATTACAACTTTTGCTGGTATAAACTTAACACCCACACAAACAAAACGCGTTGGGTTTCACTGTAAGAAATGTTTGTTTTATTTGGGGGTCATTTCACAAACTACTGGTTTGCCAAGTTAGGAGGGGAAAGGATTCCTCCTTTGTTTTTGCTACAGTTTGAAGTCTGTTCGCTAGACACTAATCAATGTTTAGTGAATTGACCCCCTTAATCAAGCTTTATATTATGTATTCTGCTGCTTTTATTTGCTACTGCTGATCTGCCTGATATATGGTATCAAAGAAACCTTTTTAATCTAGTATTAAATGGATGTCAGATTTTCTATATGTTCTATTTATGTGGCACTACTTACTGTAATTGATGGTGTTATAATATACAGTAATTGTTTTTGTAAGCTGTTCTGCTAATCTTTGAAGATATGTTTTTTTATTCTGTGTTTTGTGGCAATTGGGTTTACAATCTTTGTCATGATGGCAGTTGTATAAGACAATTGGAGTGCCAAAGATTGCCCCCACCCCTTGGACCAGATCATATTGTGTAATGCAGGACATTGCAACAATTGTGGACAGTGACCAAGTACAACAGGATTATTAACGAAAGTGAGAATTGCCAGGAATTTCACAGGTAAAACCAATAGTCAGACTGAAAGTAGAATTTACATGGATAATTTATTTCGGCGTATCTTGAAATTCACTTTGATTTATCACTTTAGCAAATACCCCTTTTAATTTTTAACACTGAAATTGTCATAGATCTCTGTTACCCGTCTGTTTATTGGTTGTGGAATATAATGTCCAAAGAATGTGCTGATGTATATCATTAAATGGCATCCATCATCAAAACTAACCTACACAGCCATGCTTACAGTCCTGCCAACACAACCTGAAATACGCCAATTGCATTATACAAGTGTAGACTTACAGCAATTCTTGTGTGTTTTTATGAGGGAAAACACATGTGGTTCATTTTCAGATGTTAGAGTGCCAAAGGTAAGACATTCATTTTATTTGAAAATGTCCACTCTATAGTATGTCAAATTTCATTTCTACATTCCAATAAACAGAGGAATATGACTATCACCTATTACTGAAGTGAGTGCTTCCCATCCATTGTTTTTTCTCCCCTTTTTTAACCAGTCCTTGCAGGAACGTCTGGTTGGATCTACACTGCTCAAAGGAACACTATATAGTCACTGGAACCATTACAGCTTAAAGTAGTGGTTCACGTTTCTACAGCCTGTCCTTGCAGCCTCATCACTGTAAACTCTGCCTTTTCAAAGAAAAGGCAGTGTTTACATTACTGCCTAGTAACACCTCTGAGACAGCCACTAGAAGTGCTTCTACGTTCAGCGTCTCCATTTGAAAACAAAAAGAATGAAGATATTATTAAGGCATTTATAAAAGTTAGTTAACTCTAGTTTAAGACTTTGATTATTACACTTGGATTTTTGGCATTAGAAGATAAACAAAAATAACATTTAATTAAATCTTTCTAAACCTTTCCCTAGGCATCTAGTGCCATGTTCCAAAAAAATATAATACTCTTTAAAAAGAGAGAATACATTACATTTTAAACAAACTGCAGTTGGCAAAAAACATTTTTTGAATTTATTTAAAGTTCTCATTTGATGGTGAAATTCCCTTTAAGGCAGAATGGACGGATATAATGTGATGGTTGAGAATGGTATAAGCACTTAAAGGTTTGCACTGCATTCTGTGTACTATTTAATATATAAATAAAATAAACTTTAAATCAAGCTTAGTCCATTGTCCTATTTCTTGGATTATAAATATAAGCATCGACTGTGCCCACTTTGTAAAACAATCACTCCTCATTTAACATACGCTGTTCGGCAGAGTGAAATGGTTAATAATGCATGCTTCTTCTAAACAGGGAGGGATCAGTATGTTACTCATTGCTTGGTATCTGAAAAGGATTAATGGGTGCCATGCACTTCGCTAGAGTTAAGTTATAGCCTAAAATTTTTTGTGCAGGTATAAATTAGCTACTTAAATCATGTCACAGGGTAGTTTACATAACACAGATCTGCACAATTTGAAAATGAAATACGGTCACTTTTAGCATCACAAATTGGGCTGCACATTTTGAAATAGTAGAAAACTGCAAATAAGAGTATAATTCTAAGGACTGAAATGGTAAGAATGGTCATATTGTCATCCTAGCATGTAAGAGGTGATATAAACCCATAGGTAGGTCTCATGGCACGGATTATAGTTCATTTAAATGAAAATTTCAAGTCAAATTATACAACAGCCTAGTGAGGGGGTAAAAAGGCACAAACCGCTAAGAAATCTGCCTATGCTCAGGCTAGGTAAAGATATAGCATCCCTCTGAGGTCCAAGTATTGGAGCACAGCAGCGGAATTCACAAAACATACCAGCCCCAGGCCTGCAAGTGAGCCACACCATATTGCCAGTGACCCAGTAGCAGTTTTGCTTGCGGCCTTCTCCACAATGGGTTTGTACGGAGACCTAGAAAACAGACCACGGTGTCTGTCGGATCTTTTTGGTGGTCTTCCACACGTGTGGGTAGTGGTAAGGATGAAAGCCCCGTATGGCTCTCAGCCTGAAAGGGCTCAATTATGGAGAATCTCTTCCCTGGCATAGGCCTCTGACTTCCCGTTGCAACGGCGCTTCGTCCTGGGATAAGTATTCAGCTGATCACAAACCTGTTGCTGAGCCAGCCAAGCCCCAAACCGCTCAGATTATCATATCTTGCCAGAATACCACTTAGTTGTGGGTTAGAGATAAAGGGACATTAGTCACCAAAACAACTTTAGCTTAAGCAGTTTTGGTGTATAGATCATGCCTCTGATTTCACTGCCATTTAGGAGTTGTCACTTTTGTTTCTGTTTTTGCAGCCCTAACCACACCTCCCCCGGCTGTGACTCAGCCTACCTGAAAGAAAACAGTTTCATCAATGTAACTTATTTTAAAATTTGTTTTATTTTCTGCTGCAAATTTAAACTTTAATTACATACAGGAGGCTCCTGCAGGGTCTAGCAAGCAGTCAACAGAACAGAAAATTCTAAATTAAACAGATTTTGCAATAAAGGAAGTACTAACATTAGATGACTAGTTACAGGAAGTGTTTAGAAAGGCTGTGCAAGTCACATGCAAGGAGATATAACTAGGGCTGCATAAAAGTGATTTAAGTTTGGCAGTCAGGCATGGCATTTTTTTTTTTTTTTTTTAAATTAGGACCCCCTTAGGTGCTTTACAACAGAACACACGACTCAAGACGAAGATGTAGGTTTAAAAACATTTTATTCACCCATGCATTACAAATGACATTTTAAATACATTTCCACTTTTGTTTATAAAACCGTCAATGAATAAACCATGTTATAAAAATAAAACATTTCATCCACCACAAGAATTTTAAAATAAGGTTATATATCATTTTTATCATGGCCAATATTAATAAAATCAATTTGTTATAACGGTCTTATCTACCAGTGATGAAACAGAGGATGAATGAGCAAACATGGCTTTCAAATCAAGTTTACAAGACTAGATATATTGGGAACATGTTACAATGGTATTTAAAACCTATTGATAGAGTTGGATTATGAAAAGGTTCTCACATTCAACAATCCAAACTGACAAATCGCTCAAATTATTTGTTGATTAACAGGGACTTTATTTTTTACCCTCAAAGTATCTCTATGAAGTTGTTTTGAAGGCTGAAGTCCCTGGGTGCCATCATATCGTAAAGAAACAATTTAGAATTAGGAATACACATTTGTATTTCTAACGCTATAGTGCTAGTCACCATTTAGGTCACAGACCCCCTCTGCCTTGGTTAAAAAAGGTTCACTTACCTCTTCTCCCTCGTAGCGGTCTTCTTGGTGAGTTGCTTTCAAACAGCCTTAACACCGGAGATGCTCCCTGGGCTCCTGTCCTAAATGTTTTCTCTATTCTCTTCTTTCCATCTTAGAGAGGGAGCAGCGAGACGCATTGGGGCTGGTGTTTGGTTTACAGCATCAGCTAACACTCTCAGTCTGTGATTGGCCACCTATTGTATGCACTGCTATTCACAATGGGTGGCCAATGATGCTATCAGCCAATCACATGTGCCCAATGATTTCTTCTCTGCTTAGTACAGTAGTCAAAAAGAGAAGGGAAAAATATTGCAGATGGACATCCAGGAAACATCTTGTATCAATCTGTTGAAAAACTGAGATTGAGAGCCTATTTAAGTGTGTATTCATTTACTCTATATTAGACCAAGTGTGGACCCATTAACCAACCCTATACATACACAAGAAATATATTAAGTATTGCAGCTTCTGCAGGGATCCCTGCTTAGACCAGAAGGTTTGTTAATCAGTTCTCCAACTGAAAGCATTACCTTATGGCACAAAGTGTTATTGGACTGGAATGTTCAGTTAAATGACATTTCAATGGAATATGCAGGCAGTATTTACGCCCGCTGTACTGGTTATGATGCCAAGAAGACCCTGGTAATGAGACAAACAGTGTGTCCTCCTGTGGCCAGTGATGACATGTGACTTCTACAGAAGCCGGAAGTTGATCCTGCTGGCCAATCACTGGCTGAGACTGTCGGCTGACTGTTCTCAGCTAGTGAATGTAATTTTCTGCGTAGGAATATGCACAGAAGTGACATTAATTACCCCAGAAGTCTTGTTGACAAATGTCATCCCAATGGTGCTGCCGGTGGTGTTATAATCCAAATGTGCAGACTCCAGCCACCATGCTCACTTCAAATCACTGAAATGGTCTGGGTGCTTGGAGTATAAGAGTCTCTGTGTAGAAAACCTGACAAGTCTGCTTTAAGTGTGTTTCTCTCCTACAATACTTGGCAACAGGTACAGAGTGACAGGTCATGTTCCTGAAAAATAATGTAAACCCGGCTTAATGTTTCTTATTAACATTAAACCTGTATGCACAAGAGCTAGCGATCGCTATAAGCAGATGGCAACTTTTTTTTTATGTAAATGAACCTCATGTCATGAACCAAAGTAACTGGGGAGGAGAGGGGGGAAACTTAGTATTCATACAGAGGGGAATAAATATTTTTGTCCAATAACAAATGGTAATATGTAAAAAAAAAAATAATGCAGAGAAAGGGAAATAGTACATTTCAATCCATATTAAGTATCCTCAGACATTTTCATAGTTTCTATTACTCAGTCCAAGACCTGAAACTGGACATCACTGGGCTAAGCACTGAAAATGCTGAATGTTCTTAAAAATTACAAAAATGTGCCTTTTGTAGAGGTGTCACATAGCAGAGCATTAACCATTTAACAGAAAATGAAGCATTAGATGGAGAATGGTCAACATACAGTTCTATTCAAATCTGCTTAATTAACTAAAAGTTTCACTAATAATGTCAAGGTTATACTTCACATTGTAATAATAATCACTTGGACCTAAATCATGAAATTCACTTTGAACTCCTGGCAGCTTACACTTCAGTGAATAACTCCATTAGTGGAGAGTCTGCACTTAAAGAAATCTTTTTTTCTATAATAATCCCTCTATCAAGTTTTGAATGGAAATACATTTTGTTCTTAATTAGGTATATGGCAAAAAGGAGTAAGAGCACAAGGCTGTTGGTTTTCAAACACCGACTGACCAAAGGTGCATGTATGTGGCTGAAGGATCCTGTCAGACATTAAAAGGTATATATTAGGTACATTTATTAAAGCTCTTCTATTTTTCCCTTTTTACATATACATCATATAAAAAAACTTGATGAAAGGATTACTAGATTAAAATATTGTTTTGTGGTGCCCATTGTCCTTTAACATGAATAATACAGAACTATAAAATATATTCGGAATAATCCCCCTCTATACAATGTATACTTTTCACTGCCGCCAGTGTATATATGCATCTGATATACATTAAAACATAATACACAGAGAATGCTTTGTAGAATTTTGTACACAAAGTGCCTCTAGATACAACAATAATGCATTTTATACAAATTGATCTAAAAATAATCAACCCCACATAAGGGTTATTGGAAAACCAAAATGGCTGATCGCTGCAGGGCAAGTGGGCACATAAAAATCAAGTAACAGCAGACAACACGTTTTACAGGTAACGCAGCAGCGGTGTATTTTGTTGACATTATCAAATTAATATTCGAGTTGAAAAATATCTATCTTTCTCACTCATACATCACTGAAACCTCTTTATTCTCTCTTACAGAAGACCTTTAAACACCACAAACTAGTAATTAAATACTGGACCCTTTTGACAGCCAGAAACACAGGTAGTGCCTGGCAAAGGCTTGTGGGAGTTGCCAGCAGTAGGAAGGCCACTATTTGAATATCTTTGAAATAAAGTGTAAGTGGTTTACGGGCAGAATGCGTTACCTCGATAAAATTTGGCTTATTATGATTTGGCAAATAATTTCAGTTAAGGCCAAAAAAGTACCCTCTCAGCTACTGTAGTGCTATGCCTCTCTAAGACTGGCAAAGCATTATGGATTATATACTTTTGGTTAAAAGACTACACAAGAACCAGGGAACGGATTAAAAAAAACCCACATATAAAATAGGTATACATTTAGTTAGAGTTTTAGCTACAGCTCTGCTGCTGTATAAAAACACACACACAGACAAAATATATACCCAATATCTGAGATCAGATGTCATTCAGTAACAGTATAGCTGTGATTTTACCCCGCGTGCTGATTCTTCACACTGCAAGTAGTCAAACTCACTATTGTCCTCTACAAACCCTTGCAAGGAGCCTTCACAGGCAGGATTAGCCCGGCAAAGGCTTTCAGCAATGTCTTCTTCAGAGGTCAGAAGTACCTGACCCCATGCAGATGGATCGAGCTTCCCCACCGTTCCTCCATATTCATCTGGCAGGATATCATTTGGAATGTTTTTGTGTAGGGAGTTCAAGTCTGACCCATGGAGAAAGAACTGTAAGTCACAAGAAAGAGAGAGTCGATTTTAATACATGCTGTAAGGCGGTTTAACGACAAACATATTTTGACAGCAGATAAATGCCAGATGGTCTGTATAATGTGACCAGTTCCTTTTTTCAAACACATGTTTGTGCTCAAATGCTAAATACAATTCAATATAGATTGAACATAGCAAATTCATTTGACATCCTTGAGTTATCAGTCTCTCTAGATCAGGGCTTTGTCAAATTTCCTTGAATTTAACCCCTAAAGGACCAAACTTCTGGAATAAAAGGGAATCATGACATGTCACATGTCCTTAAGGGGTTAAAGGGACACTATAGTCACCAAAACAACTTTAGCTTAACCCCCTAAGGACCAAACTTCTGGAATAAAAGGGAATCATGTGTCCTTAAGGGGTTAATGAAGTAGGTTTGGTTTATAAATCATGCTCCAGCAGTCTCACTGCTTAATTCTGCCATTTAGGAGCCATATTACTTTGTTTATGCTGCCCTCCCTGCATATGACTTACACAGCCTTTCTAAACACTTCCTGTAAAGAGTCATCTAATGCTTACACCTCTTTTATTGCAAATTGTTTAATTTAGAATTTCTTATCTCCTGCTCTGCTGATAGATTGCCAAATCCTGCAAGAGACTCCTGTATGTGATTAAAGTTTAATTTACAGAGCAGGAGATACAAAACTTCTAAGGTAAGTTAACATCTGATTGAAAACAAAGCCTTTTTTTACGCGGGCTTTGTGAATCACAGGCAGGGCTGCAAGGAAACAAATCTCATAAATGGCAGAGAATTAAGCAGTGAGACTATAGAGGTATGATCTAAACACAGACTGCTTCATTATGCTAAAGTTGCTTTGGTGACTATAGTATCCCATGAAAAGCATCAGCTGATGCACTCAGCCAATCAATTGGGCCCAATGCTTTCCTTGCCTACTCAGTATGGCGGCTGGGCATAAAAGAGAGAAACTGTGTGGAAGGGTGCTCGGGAGGCAACTTAGATTAACGCTGTGGTGGACCACCAGAATATCGCCGCCACAGATTTTCTTTGCCAGTGTGAAATAGCTCTATCCAACCACAGTAGTCGAGACTTAATGTTGGGAGTAGATCTGATTTATTTGGGAAAAGCACACTGAATTTATACCCAGACCCCCAGCACGGGGTCTCCATACAGAACAACACAAACTCCTCCCAGGTGTCTCTGTGACTGGGAGATAATTCAGTCACAAGCCTGGTAATCCAATTATCTCCCAGCTACAGGGATGCATACAGATTTTGCACAAAAACACCCCAAGGCCCCATTAAATCCACACAGGAACCCCACATGTCCTATGTTCCGGATAGCCTGGATCTGAGCACCCAAGTTGTCCAAAGAGCCCTCAGATCCGTTCGATGTAGTGGAATCGCCACCGGGGTAAAGTTTTGACCAGCCAGCCACAAGTTGTAGTCCAAAACAGTTCAAGGGAGAAAGAGGCAGCGGATGGTCAACTTTCAGGAGCTCCTGTTAGAAAACAACCAAATGTTCCCCCTGGCTCTTAGGGAACGAATGTTCCTCGTGGTTCACCAAGTCTTTTCCCTGAAGAGCGCTTTCCTGGCTTGTCTGTGGGAGGAGCAGGCGGCGGTACAAGTTCACCAGATTCGCGAGTTGTAGTGTCCGAATTTAGTTCCATGTGATCTACAACAAAGTACCACTGCCTGTGTTTCCAGTGAGAGCACTTGGGTTAACCACCTACTTTGAAGTTAATGAGCCAGGAGGTTTCGGTAGTATAAAGGGGGATACCAATCTCCATTCGGGAAACGAACAGGGGGCACGTTGAAACAAATGAAGAAGGTAACTAACAAAAGTGAAAGGGTATCACATCACAAATGCCTTCAGTGATACTATAGGTATCAAAACAACTGTAGCTTAATGAAGCAGTTTTGATGTCTAGATCATGCACCTGCTCCAAAAATCTCTGCCATTTAGTAGTTGAATCACTCTTGTTTCTGTAGCTCCCCCCCACTCCCCACCTTTCCTGGCTGTGACTGACACAACCTCTATGAAAAAATGTCTTATAATTTCAAATCAGATCTTAAACTTACTTTAAAAGTTTTTATCTCCTGCAGGGAGACTGCAGGGGTGTGATCTATACATCCAGTCAGCCTCATTAAGCTAAAGTTATTTTGTTGCCCATAGTATCCCTTTAAGATAAGACAATATGAAGATAATATATTCATACACTCACCCGATTCACCAGTTTCTCTTTCAGAAATGGCTTCAGAACAGCAAAAATACCTTTAAATATTCTCGGTTCATTTATAACATTTACGGCCTTTATCCTGATGGGAAAGCCATCCTATTTTAAAGGAAAACATTATCAGCGGTAAAATCAGAAATTGATTGAATACATTTGCTATGCTACAGCTTAGTATTAAGAGAAGGAATATTTCTATATCCCATTCAGTGACTGTACTGTAAAAAACATATTGCACTCTGTTCAGTAAGACAAGTCCAACAACAGTGAGAAAACTTGATAAAGTTATCTGATTATCAGCTAAATGGACTGACTACCATTTTTAAAATATTAAAATTAAATAAAATTATAAAAATGTAAAAAAGATACTTTTTTTTTTTTTTAAAGGGACACTATAGTCACCCAGACCACTTCAGCTCAATGAAGTAGTCTGGGTTCCAGGTCCCTCAGGTTTTAACCCGGCAGCTGTAAACATAGCAGTTTCAGAGAAACTGCTATGTTTACATTAGAGGTTAAGCCAACCTCTAGTGGCTGTCTTCCTGACAGCCTAGAGGCGCATGTGCGATGCTGAATGCAAATTTTGCATCCATCGCGCAGAGCATCCATAGGAAAGCATTGAGAAATGCTTTCCTATGGACTGTTTGAATGCGCGCGCGTTCCAGTCGAGAGCTGACATCGGCGGGGGAGGAGAGGTCACCGGGGATAAAGGTAAGCTGCTGAAGGGGTTTTAACCCTTTCAGTGCCACCGGAGAGGGACCCTGAGGGTGGGGGCACCCTCAGGGCACTATAGTGTCAGGAAAACCACTTTGTTTTCCTGACACTATAGTGATCCTTTAAAGTCCCTGCTTTTTGTGTGTAAAATCCAGGTTTTTGAATTCTTTAAATGGGAATTGTGCAAAAAGCAAAGGTTTATGGGATGTAGTTCGGCACTTGATAGAAGTTCCATTCATACGACAAAATGAATGAAACTGCTGTCGATCGTTGCTAAAGCTGATAGTAGCTGCACTGTGGTTAAAGGACCACTCTAGGCACCCAGACCCCTTCAGCTTAATGAAGTGGTCTGGGTGCCTGGTCCAGCTAGGGTTAACCCATTTTTTCATAAACATAGCAGTTTCAGAGAAACTGCTATGTTTATGAATGGGTTAAGCCTTCCCCTATTTCCTCTAGTGGCTGTCTCATTGACAGCCACTAGAGGCGCTTGCGTGCTTCTCACTGTGATTTTCACAGTGAGAGCACGCCAGTGTCCATAGGAAAGCATTATGAATGCTTTCCTATGTGACCGGCTGAATGCGCGCGCAGCTCTTGCCGCGCGTGCGCATTCAGCCGACGGGGAGGAGAGAAGGAGGATCGGAGGAGGAGAGCTCCCCGCCCAGCGCTGGAAAAAGGTAAGTTTAAACCCCTTTCCCCCTTCCAGAGCCGGGCGGGAGGGGGTCCCTGAGGGTGGGGGCACCCTCAGGGCACTATAGTGCCAGGAAAACGAGTAGGTTTTCCTGGCACTATAGTGGTCCTTTAATATAATCTTGCTTATAGCTTCGTTATTTTTTTTTTTATGAACAGATCTACAGATGTGATGCTGTAAATTGTGTAGGAGCATGTTATGGTAAGTGGAGGACTTTTACAGCATGCATATGCCATATAAGTTCTTGCATGGATGGACGGAATGGTAAAATATAAAGCTATCCTTCTGTAATTTGTGAATGATGGGGTAGAGCTTATAGCTGCAGCAAGTTTTGCAAATTGCTGTAAATGAGAAGCAAGGCAACTGCTTGCAGGGACCCATGGACAGGCACGTCATTGCACCATTATCTAGAACAAGTTGCTGTACTGCACATCATAGAGCTGCTGACTAATGTAATTTTGGTTATGCGGTTACCCCATAAACACCCAAACAAGAGTCACGTCTCTTACCTGAAGAATCCCAATGACTTTTTTGGCCATAAATGGTCCGAAATGGGAAGCTTGAGACAAGCCGACGTTGTTGTAGTCTGCAAGGATTACAATACCATTAACTTGTGTTTCTTCAGACTCCACCAGTTTTTCCAGAGAGAGATATATGGCACGAACATTCTCAGTCATAGGATAATTTCTGGGACTCCACTGACCTACAAATAAAGATGTAAAAAGTAAGTAATATAGTAAAACCCACCAATAATAAAGACTTTTTAAACTTTTGCTTGTATAGTTGAGGGTAAGATTTTTGTATATTTAGATTAATATAATGTCACTGACATTTTGGGAAGACACACTTGAGGTATATATGTAATCAATGATTCCTTCTCATCTTGAGCTTACGGGATGAAGAGGAGTCCCATAATGATTCACTAATAAAGTCAATGTTGACTCATCCAACTGAGCAAACGTATGATCTTTAAAGAGGCCTTAAACATGGCCTCATCTTCCAGTGTTCGCAGAACTTGTCTGGGAGAATCATGGGTTAAGGACATTTTGCATAAACAGTAGGAAAAGAAGAACATTAATAAACATGTTTGCACCCATTAACCAGAACAGGAAATAAGTTGCTATGTTGTGTCTATAAATCGCATATCTCCGTTTGCCATTTTACAAAAAATATTTTGTTCAAAATAATATAAAGGAACACTCCAAGCCCCTTAAGCATTACACCAGAAGTGTGGCATCTGTCATCAAAGGGCCACTTTAAGCACCATAACTACTACAGTGTGCTGTAGTGGCTATGGAGCCGGCACCGTCTGTAAGTAGTTAAACTTTTTTTAAACAGTTTGACTGCTTACCTGGTGTTTGTCCAGCACCGTTCCCCGCCTCCACTACTAGTGCCAGAGAGCCGAAGATCCTGACCATGAACTTCAGTTAGTTCCTCTGCAGTATAGGTCTAGTTTATTTGCAGAGAGTGTCACCTGATCGTGCTGTAGCGGTTACGGTGCTTGGAGTGTTCCTTTAACTTCTTAGGGGTCAGCAGATACAATGTGCTGCTCTAGATATGAAGCCAACACACTAGGGATTGACCGATTATCGGTTTTGCCGATATTATCTGCTGATATTTAGATTTTTTGTAAGTATCGTCCGATAATCACCGGCAATACTGATAATGAATGGGTAGGCCGGTGCGTCCATAAGACGACACAAGCGGCAGTCCAGGGGGTACTAGATCGGAGTGACCGGCAGGAGGTAGGCGCACATCACTACCTCCTGCCAGGCACTCTGTGTAGCGTGTCTGAGCGGTGCGCACTGCGGTACAGGAACTTGTGTTTCCTGTACCCAGCCGGACTGAGAGGAAGAGTTCACTGAGAGAGCACTTCCTGTCAGTCAGGCCGGGTACAGGAGACTGAAGGGACGTGGACACACACTATGGGACGGAGGCCTTTGGTATGAATCACTATGGGACAGAGGGTGGGGCTGGTAGGGAACACTATGGGACAGAAGGTGGGGGTGGTAGGAACACTATGGGGTGGGGGTGGTAGGAACACTATGGGGTGGGAGAGATGTTAAGGATCACTATGGGGTGGGAGGGATGTTAAGGAACATTATGGGATGGGGGAGGGGGAAATACACTATGGGACAGGGAAGGGGGGTGAAGAACACTATGGGACAGGGAAGGGGGGTGAAGAACACTATGGGACAGGGAAGGGGGGGGAACACTAGGGGGGAGAGAGGAACATTAAGGGAGGACACTAAGGTACAGGGAGGGAAGGGAAAAGGAACACTGGGGTAGTGGGGGGAACCACTAAAAGAGAAGGGAGAGGAACAATAAGGGGAATGGGGGGCACTAAGAGACAGGTAAGGGGTGGTGGAAGTTCCTTCCGCACATATTTACAAACACTGAATCCACTACCCAAACACACACACACTGGATCCACTACACAAACAAACATTACATCCACTACACGCGCACAAACACTGCATTTACTAATCCAATACTCTCACTGCATCCACTACACGCGCACACAAATATTCTTGAAAACATAAAATAAATCTGTCATGTATATTTTGTGCATTTACCACTTTAAAAAACAAAACAAAACAAAATATTTGCAAAATATGTAAAATACGGTAAATGTACAGAATATCGGTAAGCTATCGGCTATCAGCCTGAAAGTTCACAGATTATTGGTATCGGCTGTTAAAATCAATATCGGTCGATCCCTACAACACACCATAAAGAACATCTACCTGGGCTAATAAACATGTGTTGGAGAAAATTATTGTGTTTGTCGTGATCAGCCCTACAATATCCTACTCCCCTGACCTCTCTTATTAATGGCTGGAGATGATGCTTGGAGGATGAGCAATTAATCATGTCAATATTTTGAAAAAAATGCCCCTTTTGGGTACAGGCCTTTCTTAGTCTAACCTAGCTGGATTTCTGACATCAACCATTAGCTTTGCATTGGATCGTCAAATTCTGGGACACAGTAAAGAATAGGCCTGTGTATTGTTCTGTTGTGGTGCTGTCATGGGGTGACAGTCTCAGAGGGCTGGAGTAGGACATCTTTAAAGTGGTTGCATCTATGGGTTTATGATGTTGAACCGTGCATGACAAATCAATAGGTCAGAGGTTGAGTGCATTGGGTAAAAGGGATTCTATAGTGTAAGGAATACATATCTGTATTTCTTACAATATAGTTCCCTCTGGTAGCCCCTCCCTCGTGACCCATCCCAACACCCACGTGACATAAAAGGTTGAAAAATAAACACCTTTGTTTACACCTCCAATTCCTGCGCCGATCTCCCTCTGTGGTGGGTCAGAGCTCCGCCACCTCCAATGGGAGGACCTAATGCATGTCTGTATGCATGCATGTCTGGCTGTCTATGTCTGGCTGCCTGTCTATGTCTGGCTGCCTGTCTATGTCTGGCTGCCTGTCTGTATGCATGTCTGTCTGTATGCATGTCTGTCTGTATGCATGTCTGTGGCTGTATGCATGTCTGTCTGTTTATGTATGTCTGTCTGTATGCATTTCTGTATGCCTGTCTATCTGGATGTCAGTGTCTGTATGAATGTATGTATGTGTATATAGATGTCAGTGTCTGTATGCCAGTATGAATGTATGTCTGTCTGTCATTAGGTCTGTATGTCCTTATGCATGTGTGTCTGTATGTATGTTAATATGTGTCTGTCACTATGTACTCCTGTGTGTCTGTATATGTGTGTATGTCTCAGTATGTGTGTGTCAGTATGTATGCCTATATGTGTGTCTGTTAGTATGTATCAGTGTGTGTGTGTGTGTGTGTGTGTGTGTGTGTGTGTATCTGTGTCCTTTTGTATCAGTGAATGTGTTTGTGTATGTGTGTGTGTGTGTGTATTCCTGTGGGCGGGACTTGGAGGTGGGCCCCCAGGGGCCCAGACCCTGAGCTCAGTTAGGGGCCCCAAAATTTTTGGTGGCGGCCCTGGTTGTGGCTGATCAGTGTATATATTAATTAGAAAACCTTTTGCTGCACCACTATTCTTTTTCGGAACTTTAGAGGGAGAAATCTAAAAAAATAAATAAAAAAATCTGAATTTGTATATGGTTTTAAAAAAAATAAAAATAAAAATTTACTTCAGTTTTGGTCAAAATGCAATTCAATAGCTAGTGTTAAATTTTAGCCACTGATTGCTCAATCTGATAAAGCTGGGTTACACATGGTTGATATTTGGATTGTAAAAGAAGAGAGATAAAAAGTGACATACCAGGCCGAATACAAACAATCCGACGGCCCATGTGATCTGTGTGAGGTAGGACTGTAATAAATCCAGAGTCCAACACGGGCTTTATAGCAGAGGGTCTTAGATCATTGAAGACCTCGGGCCAGTTTTTCCGGCAGCTGTAATAGTTCACCAGGAGCTGTAAAGCACGGTCATAATCAAATTTCCTTGCTCTCAGGAACCGGAGTAGGAAAGAGTCATCGACACGGGTCTTCAGGTAGGGGTAATCCTTCCATATCATGTCCCGCAGAGCCTGCACATCACGTAGCCTCCATTCAGGCTTTTCTTGCAGTTCTTCTCTGGCTTTTAGGATAAGTTCAGGGGTCAAAGTGCAGATATAGCCTTGATGGGGATCAGCAGAATTTTCATCCACAGGGGAGGACACGGGTGAACTTCCTACTGAGGTCTCATTGTCTTCTGCCATTGAGTAGGAAACAACTGTCAAAAAGACAAACAAATGTCAGCAAGAAAACAAAAAGAGGAAAATACAAACAAACCCACAAGCTATATACAAAACAAAACCTAATTCGAAACACTTGTACTTCCTGTATCTTTGAACATGTTAATTGTAAGCATTTATCTAGTCTCCATTTTCTAAAGGCCAGGCAGTTTGTATCTTTTTAAAGCACACTAGGGGGAAACATGAGTGTGTGTGTGTGTGTATATATATATATATATATACACATATATATTTTTTATTTGTGTTAGGGGCACATAGCCGTATAAGGAGTAACGATCCAGTATAAGCGTAGTATAGTATAAAAGAACAAGTCGGTTGTGGTGTGCCAGAACTGACGATACGGTAGGCCTGTAAATAAAAGAGGGCCCACCAAGGAGTAAGAAAAGAAAGGAAAAAGTGTTGAGAATGTGGAGTGGTGGGAGGATCATTCAAATGCTGACCTCAAACGGTATGGAGCCAGGTAAGGGGTGTTCCTTAAATAGGTAAGTAAAGTAATAAGCCCCTCCCACAATTACAGGCCAAACGTCCTTAATACATACACACACACACACACACATATATATATATATATATATATATATATATATATATATACACATACATACATACATACATACATACATAAACACACACACACACACACACACACATATACATTTTTTAAAAATTATTATTATTGATTTTCTCACCCCTACTCGGTGGTATGTTTATTCCTCATTCTCCCAGAGGCCTGGGAGTTTGAGGGTTCTGTGTAGTATCTTAGCTGTTCCTAGAACTGCACTCTTCTGGACAGCGATCTCAGATGACATCTGTGGAAGCCACTCCCTCAACTTGGCAGTCACAGCTCCGAGTGCTAATATCACAACTGGGACTACTACTGCCTTCACTTTCCACATCCTTTCTAGTTCTTCTTTCAGTCCTTGGTATTTGTCCACCTTCTCATGTTCCTTCTTCCTGATGTTATAGTCACTGGGTATTGCCACATCCACCACGAATGCAGTCTTTCGTTCCTTGTCTACCACCACGATGTCTGGTTGGTTGGCCAGCACTTACTTGTCTGTCTTGATCTTGAAGTCCCACAGGATCTTGGCCCTGTCATTCTCGACTACCCTTTGTGGTATCTCCCATCTGGATCTAGGCAGGTCCAATCCTTATTCTGTGCAGATGTTTCGGTACATAATCCCAGCAACTTGGTTGTGTCTCCCCGTGTATGCTGTTCCTGCTAACATCTTGCATCCGGCTACTAGGTGCTGGACTATCTCAGACGCCTCTTTGCACCTTGGGTCTTGTCTGGTGTGGTAGACTCCAGCTTCTATTGATACGGTGCTGACTGCCGGCTTTATCTAGGACTGTGGCCTTGACACTCATCAGGCTACATGAAACGTATGTGGAAGCTATGGATAAAATACATAAATATATATATACATACACACAGTTACAAGAAAAAGTATGTGAACCCTGTGGAATGATATGGATTTCTGCACAAATTGGTCATAAAATGTGATCTGATCATCATCTAAGTCACAACAATAGACAATCACAGTCTGCTTAAACTAATAACACACAAAGAATGAAATGTTGCCATGTTTTTATTGAACACACCATGTAAACATTCACAGTGCAGGTGGAAAAAGTATGTGAACCCTTGGATTTAATAACTGGTTAAACCTCCTTTGGCAGCAATAATTTCAACCAAACATTTCCTGTAGTTGCAGATCAGACGTGCACAACGGTCAGGAGTTATTCTTGACCATTCCTCTTTACAGAACTGTTTCAGTTCAGCAATATTCTTGGGATGTGATTGTCTATTGTTGTGACTTGGATGATGATCAGATCACATTTTATGACTAATTTGTGCAGAAATCCATATCATTCCAAAGGGTTCACATACTTTTTCTTGCAACTGTGTGTATATATATAGTGCGCTGATCTTGTGTAATATATATATATTTATATATGTGTGTATATGTAGTGTAGTAGTGAATAGCCCTTTCCCCTCCCAGTAATTAGACGACTGGGAGGACAACTGATTTTCTATAAGCCAAACTTGGCACATACCCCAGCAAGGGGTCTCCAAAAAATACAATACAAGCCACTTCCCAGAAATCTTTGGGCCTGGTAAATAATTGAGTTAAAGACTGGTAAACTAAATAGACCCCAACACAAAAACATAAATGTACCCCAAAACATAATAACCCCACATGTCCTACATCTCCAAACAGCCCTGATCTGAGCGCCCAAGTTGTCCAAATAGCACAGATCCATGCAGTGTAGTGGAAACGCCACCAGTGCAAAGTTCAGACCGACTGTACACGTGGTCCTAGCTCAAAATAGTTTCAGAGCATTTTGTGCTTTTGACGGTCAACTTTCGGGAGCACCTGTGCCCGAAATATGGGATGCTCTTCCTGGCTCTCAGGGAGCATTTGTTCCCCTTAGTCTCAGGCACCTTCACCCCAAAAAGTAATTATGCCAAAATTATTTCCATAGTGGTCGCGGCTAAGTACCACTGAGGACTATTCGTGGATTTGTTAATGCTGCAGGGAGCAAGCATTCGGTTCCATTTGTGAGGAGGGAAAGTGCCGAACCAGTGGCACAGAGGGAAAGCTGCTAATGGGGACTAGGCAGGGTAACTCCAGAACGGGGTCTCAGATTTGGACCATATTTGGTGGGCAGGAGGCCAGCTTTCACACTCCTCCAGGAGTTTGTGGCAAACATCCGTGGAAAAGCATGTTTGTCACAATACACAAGTTTAATATATAACACGCACACACCCTCTCTCTGGAGAACCATATTTTCTATTGTACGCCAGCCGTAATTCAGTTTCAACCACAGTGGTAAGTGGCTGAAGGTGAAGCTGTGGTGGTAATACTGCTGAGAGTGCCCCTTTAAACATTACACTGTACTGACAAATCATGTTTTGTTTTTTGTTCAAAGTGGAACTGAACATTTTGTATCGTGTACTAGATGCAATCACTACAGTCTCATAAGAGTAATGCACATTATCAAAGACAGGCGGGAGCAGATATTTCTGAATAGGATATGAGCAAACTAGGCTTGCATGAGAATCACAAAATTATAGAATGACATTTCCAGCATTGAATGAGTCATGATGCTGACACACCTCACTGTATTGTAGAGGATGCTTTCATCTCCTTGAGCAGACTTGCTGTGAGTAAATACAAACACGGGTGTACTGACTAAATATACAGCCAGCACTGGATTGCTGAAAATCAGCTGATTTCACTTGTTTAACTGGTGTTTGACCATTTACTGAAGTCTTAAGTCTAAACTATTTGTGGTTTTGAAATACCAGATGTAAGCGGATTTACAAAGCAACATAGCTTAATTATATGGCTAATAACCAGGCATTAAGGGATATAGAATTCCAGCAGAGGATAAATTCTCAGTCTCATGATGCTCAGCAATCATCGGAAAAAGATGTGTGGCTGCCTGAGCATCGCATGTTGTATGTGAACAAAAGCTGACGAATTACATGTTGGCTAGTCCCTATTCTATTTACAAAATATTTAACCTATAATTTTGCTCCAGTATAAGCCAGAGTGACAGATAATGGGACCGAGCAAGAAGAGACAGGGATTTTAAATGAATACTTCTTTTGCTAATCATCAGGCTCCAAAGTCCGTCTTTGACCATCTTTGCAATGATAAATAAATAAATAATTACGACTGAGGTAGTGCCCACTTACAAAGAATAAAAAGTATGCATGTTTGCATGTATATACATTGAAATATATACACGATGGTCAGTCCACGCAGACAGGATAAAATGGTTTAGTTACAGTTTGATCACAAAGTAAAATAGAAACTGTGGATGGTATAAACATATGCCCAATATATAAGTAACTTCACTGTATTGTAGCCTTTAAAGTTGATTGTGAAGTGTGAAAATAAGAACATACAGGATGTCCACGGAAAGGGATGTTTCATCACTTGTGGTTTGCGATTTATAACTCAATTCAACTGACATTTCAGAGATAGTCAGATAGAATTCAGAAAACATTTCAGCTGTTTGAAGAATTCCTACTGTTTTTAAATGCAACATCGTAATACATTTGAAATTCAAATATAAGCATTGTGCAAAATAAATATTTTATATAACAAAATTCTTTATAAGAAAATAATTTCATGCTTGAAGATTAAGTGTGGCAAAACATCTTTCTGCTCAAAAAAAGCCTAAAATCAGTGGCCTGCTGTTAACCACACCTATAGATAAATTAGGGATCAATCGACTTGGCCGATTATTAGAGCCGATATTCGGCATTTTTATAATAATCGTAATAGGCCTCCATAGTTACCGATATTGCCATAATATACTTACCACTGACTGATGATTTCAGTCAATCCAATGCTTTCCCAAATATACAGAATATTGCTACCAGTTACTGCCAATCGGCACAAAATGCAACTGATAATCAATATCGGCTCTACAAAAAATGATATTGGTCGATCCCCAAGATATAGGTCTGGGGATATCTGCTGTGCTTTATACCGTAACTATAGATAAATGGCTGGGGTTAAGCATCCTGCCATATACCGTGGCTATAAATGGCTGGGGATACCTGCCTTATTTTACACCACGACTATAAATGGGTATACCTACCTGCCTTTATAATGTAGTGATAAATTAATGGCCGGGGATACCTACCCTGCAATATCCTGTGATTATTAGTTATATTTTGGGAATGTTAGAGAAGCCCTATATGTTCATGTCACTTTCAGCCTTGCTCATTGTCTTGGTATAGCTCTGTGGCTGGGTAACCATAGTCAAACATGCCTTATTATCACGCCCTGCCCTTCTTTACCCTCTGGCTATGGCTTGTGATTCTGTCCATGGCTGGGGATGCCTGCCCCCTTATGTGTCCCGGGGCAATGACTCGGGTTCTAGCTGAGTCCCGGGGCAATGACTCGGGTTCTAGCTGTGTCCCGGGGCAATGACTCGGGTTCTAGCTGTGTCCCGGGGCAATGACTCGGGTTCTAGCTGTGTCCCGGGACAATGACTCGGGTTCTAGCTGTGTCCCGGGACAATGACTCGGGTTCTAGCTGTGTCCCGGGGCAATGACTCGGGTTCTAGCTGTGTCCCGGGGCAATGACTCGGGTTCTAGCTGTGTCCCGGGGCAATGACTCGGGTTCTAGCTGTGTCCCGGGGCAATGACTCGGGTTCTAGCTGTGTCCCGGGACAATGACTCGGGTTCTAGCTGTGTCCCGGGGCAATGACTCGGGTTCTAGCTGTGTCCCGGGGCAATGACTCGGGTTCTAGCTGTGTCCCGGGGCAATGACTCGGGTTCTAGCTGTGTCCCGGGGCCATGGTTCTGGGTTTTGTACTGGATCTGTCAGTGGCTGAGATTCTAGCACTGGCTATGACTCTGGGTTGAGTTCTGGTTCAGGTTCTGACAGGGGCTCTGGTTCTGGGTTGAGTTCTGGTTCTGACAGGGGCTCTGGTTCTGGGTTGAGTTCTGGTTCTGACAGGGGCTCTGGTTCTGGGTTGAGTTCTGGTTCTGACAGGGGCCCTGTTTCTGGGTTGAGTTCTGGTTCTGACAGGGGCCCTGTTTCTGGGTTGAGTTCTGGTTCTGCCAGGGGCTCTGGTTCTGGGTTTGGCTCTGAGTTCTGGTTCTGCCAGGGGCTCTGGTTCTGGGTTTGGTTCTGGTTCTGAGTTCTGGTTCTGCCAGGGTCCCTGGTTCTGGGTTTAGTTCTGGTTCTGAGTTCTGGTTCTGCCAGGGTCCCTGGTTCTGGGTTTGGTTCTGGTTCTGCCAGGGTCCCTGGTTCTGGGTTTGGTTCTGAGTTCTGGTTCTGCCAGGGGCTCTGGTTCTGGGTTTAGTTCTGGTTCTGCCAGGGTCCCTGGTTCTGCCAGGGTCCCTGGTTCTGGGTTTGGTTCTGGTTCTGAGTTCTGGTTCTGCCAGGGTCCCTGGTTCTGGGTTTGGTTCTGGTTCCGGTTCTGCCAGGGCCCTCAGCAGCCATACCTGTCCTCCTGTGTTAGAAGCTGCTGCTCTCGGATCAGACCATGTCACCTGCCGGAGGGGGGGAGCCGGGGAGCCGCGCTGTGTGTCTCATCCTGGGACTGGCTCCCCCTCTCGGCCTCTCGCGGCACGGCCTTCACCTGCGCGCTCACGCGATTGGCTCTCACCGGTCACGTGTCCGCGCTCGGGGACTCACACCCACCTGGATGGCGACCTAGCCAGAGACCGACCGAGATGCGAACAACTGCTGGGAACGCGCCTGGACCACGTCACGGGGTGCGCGCGCATTCCCTCAACTGACAAAATCCTCGATGATACCGGCAGCGGCCATCAGGGGGCGCGCCACGCCCAGAAATGGAATGGCTTTAATAATAAAAATAATTCATTTTATACTGATAAGAAAATAAATATATTAATAAAAAAATCTTATATTGCTAGAATAAATTATAAATGTAATAATTATAAACTAAAAATAGTAATATACACCATATTTACACGAATAGAACACGCCATGGAATATAACGAGCCATCGAATATAACGCACCATCGAATATAACGACCCATCGAATAGAACGCGTCATGGAATATAACGCGCCATGGAATAGAACGCGTCATGGAATATAACGCGCCATCGAATATAACGCGCCATGGAATATAACGCGCCATCGAATATAACGCGCCATCGAATATAGAGCGCCATCGAATATAACGCGGCATCGAATATAACGCGCCATGGAATATAACGCGCCATCGAATATAACGCGCCATCGAAAATAACTCGTCATCGAATATAACGCGCCATGGAATATAACGCGCCATCGAATATAACGCGCCATCGAATATAACGCGTCATCGAATATAACGCGCCATCGAATATAACGCGGCATGGAATATAACGCGCCATGGAATATAACGCGTCATCGAATATAACGCGTCATTGAATATAACGCGCCATGGAATATAACGCGCCATGGGATATAACGCGTCATGGGATATAACGCGTCATGGGATATAACGCACCTTGGAATATAACGCGCCATGGAATATAACGCGCCATCGAATATAACGCGTCATCGAATATAACGCGCCATGGAATATAACGCGGCATGGAATATAACGCGGCATGGAATATAACGCGTCATCGAATAATAACGCGTCATCGAATATAACGAGCCATCGAATATAACGCGAATATATCGCGCCATCGAATATAACGCGTCATCGAATTTAACTCGTCATGGAATATAACGAGCCATCGAATAGAACGCGTCATGGAATATAACGCGCCATCGAATATAACGCGTCATGGAATATAAGGCGCCATCGAATATAACGCGACATTGAATATAACGAGCCATCGAATATAACGATCCATCGAATATAACGCGCCATCGAATATAACGCGTCATCGAATATAACGAGCCATCGAATATAACGCGCCATGGAATACAACGCGCCATGGAATATAACGCGTCATCGAATATAACGCGACATGGAATATAACGCGGCTTTAAATATAACGCGCCATCGAATATAACGCTCTATCAAATATAACGTGCCATCGAATATAATGCGTCATCGAATATAACGCGATATCGAATATAACGTGCCATCGAATATAACGTGCCATCGAATATAATGCGTCATCAAATATAATGCGACATCGAATATAATGCGACATCGAATATAACGCGCCATCGAATATAATGCGCCATCGAACATAATGCAACATTAAATATAATTCACCATCAGATATAATGCGCCATCGGATATAATGCGACATTAGATATAATGCAACATCGAATATAACGTGCCATTGAATATAATGCGCCATAGAGTATAATGCAACATAGAATATAACGCGCAATCGAATATAACGCACCATCGAATATAATGCGCACAAAAATTTTTAAACCGGGAAACCAAAAAATGTTTTAGTTGACGAATGTAATGTGCAAGATACTACCATACAGCATACAGCATCGCCACAAAGATGCGAGGTACAGCTTTACTGTCCAACTGATGCGAATTCGAATATGTGTCATATGCCCGTCTAATATGCTATTCGTGTTTGAATCTAACACGCCATTGAATCTAATTAATATTGAAATTTTGGAGACTTCATTTTGCCAATAAGGGTGCTTATTAGATGCGCGTAAATACGATATTACATATTGAGTATTATAACTATAAATGTAATATATATTGTTATACTTTTAAAAACAAACATTCTTTTACCCTGCTGTACCAGTTCCAAGCAATCTCCATTCTCCACTATCTTTTCAACTTTTTGGATTATTTCAAACTGTTCAAGAAACACTCACAAATAGTGATGTCCCGAACGGTTCGCCGAACGGTTCGCGAATGGTTCGCCACGAACGGTTCGCCACGGACTCATCATTGAGTAAACTTTGACCCTGTACCTCACAGTCAGCAGACACATTCCAGCCAATCAGCAGCAGACCCTCCCTCCCAGACCCTCCCACCTCCTGGACAGCATCCATTGTGAAGCTGCATTCTTAGTGAGCTTTCCAGGAGGTAGGAGGGTCTGGGAGGGAGGGTCTGCTGCTGATTGGCTGGAATGTGTCTGCTGACTGTGAGGTACAGGGTCAAAGTTTACTCAATGATGAGTCTGTGGTGAACAGTTCGCGAACCGTTTGGCGAACAGTTCGGGACATCACTACTCACAAAGCTTCTTTTACCCCCATTCTGTTCTCCAAACTGACTACTGTCCCGACAGCTCATCAGGATCATAGAAACATAGAAACATAGAATGTTATCTTATAGTAAGGATAGCCTTATGCCTATCACACACATGCTTAACCTCCTTCACTGTGTTAACTCTACCACTTCAGCTGGATGGCTATTCCGTGCATCCACGACCCTCTCAGTAAAGTAATACTTCCTGATATTATTTTTTAACCTTTGCCCCTCTAATTTAAATATAGTCTCATCCTTTACTGTGTTGATTCCCTTTATGTATTTAAATGTTTCTATCCTATCCCCCCTGTCTCGTCTTTCCTCCAAGCTATACATGTTAAGATCTTTTAACCTTTCCTGGTAAGTTTTATCCTACAATCCATGTACCAGTTTATTAGACCTTCTCTGAATTCTCTCTAATGTATCAATATCCTTTTGAAGATACGGTTTCCAGTACTGCATACAATACTCCAAGTGAGGTCTCACCAGTGTTCTGTACAATGGCATGAGCACTTCCCTCTTTCTACTGCCAATATCTCTCCCTATACAACCAAGCATTCTGCTAGCCTTTCCTGCTGCTCTATTACATTGTCTGCCTACCTTTAAAGGGACACTATAGTCACTTGAACAACTTTATCTTAATGAAGCAGTTTTAGTGTATAGAACATGCCCCTGCAGCCTCACTGTTCAATCCTGTGCCATTTAGGAGTTTAATCCCTTTGTTTATGAACCCTAGTCACACCTCCCTGCATGTGACTTGCACAGCCTTCCATAAACACTTCCTGTAAAGAGAGCCCTATTTAGGCTTTCTTTATTGCAAGTTCTGTTTATTTAAGATTTTCTTATCCCCTGCTATGTTAATAGCTTGCTAGACCCTGCAAGAGCCTCCTGTATGTGATTAAGGTTCAATTTTGAGATTGAGATACAATTATTTAAGGTAAATTACATCTGTTTGAAAGTGAAACCAGTTTTTTTTTTTTTCATGCAGGCTCTGTCAATCAAAGCCAGGGGAGGTGTGGCTAGGGCTGCATAAACAGAAACAAAGTGATTTAACTCCTAAATGACAGTGAATTGAGCAGTGAAATCGCAGGGAAATGATCTATACACTAAAACTGCTTTATTTAGCTAAAGTAATTTAGGTGACTATAGTGTTCCTTTAAATCATCTGAAATTATCACCCCTAAATCCCTTTCCTCAGATGTTGAGGTTAGGACTCTATCAAATATTCTGTACTCTGCCCTTGGGTTTTTAAGTCCAAGATGCATTATCTTGCACTTATCCACATTAAATGTCAGTTGCCACAACTCTGACCATTTTTCTAGTTTACCTAAATCATTTGCCATTTGGCTTATCCCTCCTGGAACATCAACCCTGTTACATATCTTAGTACTATCAGCAAAAAGACATACCTTACTGTGACAGACCCATCTGTATGACTATTATTTGTGGATTCGTCTAGTTTGCCTTCCTTTCGTGGAAATTGCCTGTTTCTATAGCCCATGCGTATGATTGACTTTTTACCGAACAAATCTACCGAACAGACGACCACCCAGAATAAGAAGTGTGCTGCTGGTTAACCTCTTGATCCCAATTAGAACGTTGTGGTTAACCGCAGACACTTCTTAATTATAACCGAATACAGGGTGGTCGTCGTTCGCATGTCGACCACGAGGCAGCGGCCATTTTAAATCACACGAAAGACCAGCGGTGCTCGGCATTGATTCCATGGAACTAAAAACGGGCACTTTTTCTGCCGAACACCGCTGAAACAACAGGTCACCCTTCTCTGTCGATGAAAGCATGCGAACACCGGCCATTCGGGAGTTTTGGATTATATGAAGAGACTTAACCCAGATAGCCTTCCTATGGAGTCAATCGCATACCGAAAGACTGTAAGAACTTTGACTCCATGGCGATTGAACTATGCGTATGGGATCTGAGCGCTATTCGCTAATAATATGCCCTCAGATCCAGGCTATCTGGGGATACGTTATACGAATGTAAAATGTTCGGTAGTTGTGTAATTATTTATTTTTATGTGTTTTCTGGTGTTTTACTTAAAATGGCGACTTGTCTTTTTCCTGGAGATAATTGAATTACTTCTCAATTATCTCCAGGGCAGAGGGGAGCATTGTTGTGTGTGTGGAGAAGAGTGAGAGCTGTATGAGGAGCAAAGTCAGAGCCGGCCCTGCCTGGCCCTTTAAAAATGTTTGCTCTGTGGTCCGTGATCTATCTGCAGTCCCTGGAAGTTCTAACGCTCTGTGAAGGAGTCGGAGTGCAGGTGCCAGGATTTCCAACCTCTTCTCTGACGCCATCACAGAGGCCCGGACTGGGGAATCCACCGGACCACCAGGGATCCCACTGAACCACTAGAGAACGTATTATTGCCCCCTTTCCTTCACAGGAAGAGGGGGGCAAATGTAATGAAATATTATATAAAAGGCATTACTATGTGGGTAGACAGTGTTTAACATACCGTCACTCACCCACACACACTCAGCCCAATACATTATCACTCGCTCACTCACCTTGCCACAATCACTCACGCCCCCAACCATGTCACACTCCA